TAGTGGTTAGCAATGGAATCCAGGATGTGCGTTTTGCCTATTTGGGACTCGTCGGCTGGATTGTGTGAAATAAAGCATTTGAAAAAATGTATTTTAGGTCCAATCCATTAAAATAAACATTTAATCAACATTTTATTACTCACTTATCCAGAGCAATAATAAGTTAGAAAGAATTTAATTGTTCTAAAAGAAAGAAAAATCCTAGACACATTTGTCATAATAAAAAATGTTTTCATAGAAAACAATTTAATTGGACTAATTATTTAATGAAATACATTAGGAAAACTGTAATAAAACAGTAAAAAGTGAGATTAAATTTCTCTAAACCAGGTTAGGGGCCAAACCAAAACGTGGCATCAGTTCACAAAGTCACTAACTTCTAGTCTTAGCCATGTTGGTAGATGTAGACTACTTGGTTGGGGTCTGCGTGACTATCGTAACCAATGGTTGGAGACTGTGGGTGATATGACTCAGAATTGATCACAATGGCTTAGATGTATATACTCTATGTCTTCTCTTATACCGTGAGATTAAAATTACTTTATACCTTTGTTTTTACGAACTGATTCTTTCTTCCTCTATTATATCCTTATATGCAATCTTTCTTTTATATATTACTACCATCAAAGTAACTACTTCTACGAATTTGATGTTCATCTTGTTGTGATAATGAGTTATATCAACTTAAACCGATTCATACATGTACCCGGTCCTACGTTGTAGTTGACTGACTGACTGGATACAGGTTATTATATTATTAATTTTAAATGTCGTTTAATTCATTTATAGCATAATTCTGTTTATATTATTCACTATCTATTTGTGTTAAGTTTAGAGTGATTGTGTAATATAATTATCAGTCATAGTGTGGTGCGTGCTACTTATATTGATATAAGTAGTATATAACGCGAGTCAGGAATATAATATCTGGCAGCAGGAGATGGAGAAGATCAAGAAAGGAAGAGTGGGAATAGAAAGCATTTCCATAAAATGCAAGAACAACGAAGTTCAAGATAATTATTGAACATTTTGCAAATTAGGTATTATAGTATGGTTTTTCTACTTTTCCAAGTAACTCTGTAATTTTGTGCTAAATGTATTTCGGTTGTCTTCACCTGTGTTCTCTTCACTACAATTGTATGTTGATTTTATTGTCTTAATATATTTGGTAGTGGATTTTGAGGTTTAAGAGCATATTAAAGAATTTTTTAATGTTTAAAACATGAAACATATTTAATACGCTTTTACAAGAAGTTCATAACCTACCGTTGTGTTGAAAGAGGGAACATCATAATTGTCGATATATTTTCCTTATGGCTTATTTATATACTAAAATTCATATATATTATACATATTATATGGTGTCGGAATGGTCAAAAACGTTTACAATACGTTTTGATATAATTTATGAATATGTATGTTAAAGTAGAACTCCCAGCAACGTTGTATATTTTAGGCTGATTTATTTATACTGTAAATTAACAAATGGTATAGAAGAAAGCTACTATTATTAGTCATTCATTAAAGATGAAGTTGTATCAAAAGTTACACTTCATGACATCGGGAAACTAATCGCAAAAGAAAATGTTTAACTTCCGATGATTTTTAACCAACTATGGTTAAAAACTTTAAAATTTGATAGTAAGTAAAAACAACGCTACTGTCTTATAACAAGACTATCAATAGATATAACATAATTGGGAGTCGATTCAAAGATACACGTTTCATCCCACTTGGGACTCGTCAAGTGGATGTATCTGTATCTCAGTGTTGATATTCACAAAGGAATTCGAACCAAGTATCTTTCATTTCAAACCATTAATGGATTATTCCCTGAGCTACTGAGTTCAGACTGACACTAACTTGTTCTAGTGAGAATATCAACCCACTGATGCATGTATATTTATCTTGCAAGTCCTAAATAGGAAGAAATGAGTTTCTGGAATTCCACTGCTAGCCACATTTTGTCTATTCCATGAAAACTGTCGAACTAACGTCTACATAAAGACAATCGTGCAGGATCCACATTTATTGATTAAGGAAGATGAAAATTCAATCAATAGCATCGACAACAGGATAACTGAAGACTGTTTTTTTTAACAATAGTGATGAGTTCATTTGTAACAAAAATTTTGAACAATCAAGAATTTAAAAAAATTAACCACTGAAGTTAAAGCTAGTTTATTTATTTTTCTAACCATTAGTAAATATTAGCCTAGAACACAAGATATTTATGGAGAAACAATACCTCTTCAAGTTAATTACCTAAATGTAGAATAGTTTAATTCAGTACCAGTTCATTTCACTCAGTATTAGTAATAATAGATCAGAATAACTGGTTGTTTATTGAATTACTTCTGAAAAAGATAAAAAAATAAACAATATAGAGTATGAAAACATTGTCAATTAATCAGAATGCTTGAATACTTCATAAGTGTATACTAACAAAACTGTGATCACAGTATATGAATGATTCCATAATTTCTTACTTAAGTAATATTAAAAGTAATTGGAAGAAGAAGTAGAAGAAGAATCTTCATTGAAGTGTTTGTTATTTTATCCAAAATAAATGTTGATTATATTTACTTTATTTGACAGTCAATGAAATCATCAAATACTAATGTATCGTTTCACTATTTTATTTCATATTATCGATCTCTGCATCAGTAGGCTTCAGCATACACAAAGGGAAAACCAAGATCCTCAAATACAACACGGAGGACAGAAATCCAATCACTCTTGATGGAGAAACTTTGGAAGATGTAGAATCCTTCACATACCTGGGAAGCACCGTCGATGAACAAGGAGGTTCAGATGCAGACGTAAAGGCGAGGATCGGCAAAGCAAGTGTCGCATTCCTACAATTGAAGAACATATGGAACTCAAAACAACTTTCAACCAATATCAAAGTGAGAATCTTCAATACGAACGTCAAGACAGTTCTACTGTATGGAGCTGAAACTTGAAGAACTGCACTAACCACAATCAGGAAAGTACAAGTATTTATAAATAGCTGTCTACGCAGGATACTCAACATCCATTGACCGGATACAATCAGAAACAGCCTGCTGTGGGAGAGAACAAACCAGCTTCCAGCTGAAGAGGAAATTAGGAAAAGACGATGGAAATGGATAGGACATACATTACACAAATCATCAAACTGCATTATGAGGCAAGCCCCAACTTGGAATCCTGAAGGGAAGCGGAAAAGAGGAAGGCCAAAGAACACATTACATCGGGAAATAGAAGCAGACATGAAAAAGATGAATAACGACTAGAAAGAGCTGGAACGGATTGCCGAAGACAGGGTTGGATGGAGAATGCTGGTGAGCGGCCTATGCTCCTTCACGAGGAGTAACAGGCGTAAGTAAGTGAGTAAGTAATTATCGATCTTTGTTTTTTGTCTTTCTTTTTTCTTTAATAAACGGAATACACTCATGAAGACATTAAATAAGAAAGATTATTTCAGCGAAGAGTTCTCTTTTCTGCGAATTCATTTTCAAAGCTGTACAACCGCAAATATATAAATACTTATTTTTACAGGATGATAATAATACTGATAATAAACTTCTGTTAAACATGATGACAGTGAGGTTAAATATAAAAAGTATTCAAAGTTTTTTACAAATCAAGCAAATTTTAATAATCATTTGATTGTTAATGGCTTAAGTATTCATCAAAAAGTAGATAGGGAAATTATCATTGGGAAAGGATGGCTCAGCATGATAAGATACATATTGAAACAGAGATGAAATGTAATCGGAATGATCGTGGAAATAAAAACAAACCAGTTGGGAGTAGAAGATTTAAAGGGAAGATGGAAGGTGAAGCAGATGGCTGTAAAGGAAGAAGAGGATGAAAAAGAAAAAAATTTTAAGACATTAAGACCATGGTAGAAGATGAGGTTTTACCAGTCTCTTTTGCACACAATTCTGGATTTTCCAGATGTATGGCTAATGTTTCGGCAATGCAAAGAAGACACAGTCTAATTGTCTTAGGAAGACTTCTACTTACCTTGTAGATGACTTTGAACGCAGAGTCTATCTTGATTGAATGACCTATGTTCACAAGGTGTTCGATTATAGAACTTCTTATTGAGCCGTTGCCTCCACGATCATTCCGATTACATTTCATCTCTGTTTCAACATTTCATTTTATCATGCTGAGCCATCCTTTCCCAATGATAATTTCCCTATCTATCTTTTGATGAATACTTAAGCCATTAACAATCAAACGATTATTAAACTTTCCTTGCTTTATAAAAAGAATTTTGAATATCTTTGTTTATTTAACCTCACTGTTACCATGTCTAACAGAAGTTTATTATCAGTATTATCATCATCCTGTAAAAATAAGTATTTATATATTTGCGATTGTACAGCTTTGAAAATGAATTCGCCGAAAAGCGAACTCTTCGCTGAACTAATCTTCTTTTTAAAAATTATTTCTCTTCTTCTGATAGATCAACTTTTATCGAAATGTATTCGAACTAATAAATATCACCATTCTTTTCCATATAAATATGAGTTTGTTTAATAACACCTATAATACTAATAATAATCATTATTATTATTATTATTATCATGGTAATTACTCTAATAAGTGTAATAAAATGTGAATAGAATAGAATAAGTGATAGGCCAATCAGTTTAAAAATTTATGTTTTGACCAATGAAAATAATGAAGAATTTATTTTACTGTCTTATATTAGTATTTATATTATATTTGAAAGACTAATGAGCTATTGTTTACGCCTATCTTGACAACACTATCTATCTATCTATCTATTTACAAGTGAAGAGAAGAAGTTTATTCGTTTTGTTATTTTAGCAAACGATTCATTTTTCTGTTTTTAATACTGTGGAAACTTTATAAATTGTTTCGATACAGATATATACATAATTATCATTCTATAAAATAATATTGTTACTAGGACACTTCAAAGTAATATCTCATCTCAGTAATAATATACATATACATATATATACATAACATAAGGTATGGCTGGTTATATTGCTAAACAACTTGTGGCAAAACCTTTAGATGCAGTTAAAAGTAAGATAATACATGTTTCGTTAATATGCCCATCTATAAAAACCTTTTTTTTCTTAAATATTAGTTTTATGGTTTTATAATTCAGTGACTATAAACAAAACTACCAGTAATGCAATTGTTATTACTAACTAAATTTATAGTAGGATAAAACATGATTGAATGATAAGAAATTCACCTGAATTTGAAAATATGGACAAGTAGATTTCAATTTAGTGGCTTAAAGATATCATACTGATTATATAACTTGATATTCTTGGGTTTTAGTCTGTGTTTAGTAATGTGAGTCTACACTGATTTTGAGAATTAAACGAAAATGAAGTAGTTGTCCAGTTTCATTTATTCTCAAATAGTTGTTTGGTGGATGTTAGTTTCTGATGAGAATTCAGGAGTTCACTTATTCCTCAAGTAATTAAACTTAAAACCATTTATTTACTTGTTAAAATAATTTTATTTGATCAAATTATTTGTATATAAATTACCTGTTAAATCTTCATAACGCAATCATTTCTATCGGTGTCTCTTTTTGGCCTATGGTAAGTCCTATTTACGAACGATTAACGAGTCTTCTAATACAACGCAATCAAAGGGAACTTGTATAGACCGGATGTCTGTCAATTAGCAACACTTTAACTTTCACAACGCTAATCGAAGAGATGAGACAGGTTAAGTTTATATTGTGTAAAAAAAGTCAAAAGTTAAAAAGGAACAGCTTTTGAGATGGTGGAGAAGATTTGTAGCTCAGGTGGATGATTTTGGTGGAGTTTTGTTCTCTGAGCTGGATGGTTTGGTCATGGAGCTTTCTACTCGAAGTTTGTGCTGATGATGTCGTTCAGAAGAACGATGAAAGCTCCAAGACCAAATCATCCAGCTCAGAGAACAAAACTCCACCAAAAAGGAACAGCTTTGATTACATAATGACATGCACAAAGTTAGCAAACTAAACAATAGTGGTAACCATTAAGAATTCAACAAAAACATTACAAAAATATAAATTTGAAAAACGTCATAAACATTGCCTTTCAAACAAAAAAACTAATCTGTAGTTATAAAATGCTAGATAAACTAAGGTCTCCTTAGAAGCATTATCTCTAGGATATTTATATGTTTGTATAGTTGTTGGAAATATGCATAAGTAATCAAATCTTTTGGTAAACACTGACTTATGAACGAAGAATATTGTTTCTATAAATTCTCTTCAGATTCTTCAGCTATATATCAAAATTATCAATCTAACATATGACCACGTTTAAGGCAACTACATCATTTACATTTTTGATTGAGATCATGAATCAATTGATGTTAGACCACCGTTGGAAACCTGGAAGCACGGTCGTTTCGCCCTAGTATGGGACTCCTCAGCACTTGGCGCGAGACTGATAGGTCCTGGGTTGGAATCGTGGATGCGCACTGCTGAGGAGTCCCATACTAGGACGAAACGGCCGTCCAGTGCTTCCAGGTTTCCAACGGTGGTCTAACATCAATTGATTCATGATCTCAATCAAAAACTTAACAATCTCCTCAACCCCTATACTGATACATCATTTAAAATTGTAACATACGAGTTTAGAATTGTTCGCAAAATAAAATAGATCTACAATGTTAAAGTAACTATTACGTAATGTTAACTTGAATAAATTTATATCGCTAAATAAAATTGTCTGATTACCAATCATAATAAATACAGATGACAAATTGTAAGAGATATGATGATGTAATTACAAATTAGATCAAATGTTTAATGGAAGACGGCAATAGTAATATAAAGTCCATATGAATTCAATAAGAAATAAAAACGTTTAGTAAATGGCGAACAAATTATTCATCACTTTAGATGAATAATAATATTGAAACCACAATAATAATAATAATAATAATAATAATAATAATAATAATAATACAAAAATATATGAATAACAATACCAATCATAAACACCTTCTACAAACGGAGAAAACTGTATCAAAGTATTACATTTTCTATGGAATGAGTTCCGTCATTCAACAGAGACATTATACTTACTGAAATAAGTTAAAAACAATTTTGCTATTATCAGAGAGGAATTATAGTAATTTAATAGTTGAATTTATGAGTCAATTGAAACTAAACCACCAACCAGTCTCGCGACTTCGTGGATGCTCACTGCTGACGAGTTCCATACCACGACGAAACGGTCGTCCAGTGCTATCAGGTTTTCCATGGTGGTCTAGCTTTAATTGACTCATAAATTCAACTATTCGCTTTTGTTACTGCTTTATTAATGAATGATATTATGTCATAAACTATCAGAAAACTCAGAAAGTAGGCAAAGTTAAGTATATTTTAACTGTTTTTACATGATTCTGAGTGAATACATATACATTTCTATATGTACATATACATATGTAATGACTTTCGAAACAGTCACAATGGTCTATTCATCATTTTAATTATAATATATTTTTTATAGAAAATTTACTAATGTATTTTTTCAAATATTCACAAATACACTTAAATATATGAAATGTTATCCACAGTTATAAACTAAACAATAGGAATATATGAAAAGATGGATAGTGGCTAGCAGTGGAATCCAGAACTCGCGTCCCATCCTATTTGGGACTTGTCATCTGGGTGTACCTGCAACTCAGACTGGATGTTCACTCTGAGACTAGAACCCAGTAACGTTCGCTCCAAACACCATCTCGTCATCCTCTTAGCTTCTGAGTCCTGACAACCAAAATCTTGTGGAATGAGGTGAATACAGGATACACATATGCCCAGACGAAACTGATCAATCACAGTTCTAAACACCAATAGGAAGATTCAAGTAAATAATTCCAAGCGAATTTAAACGAAAGGAAGTTTGATCACAATCCTATTGAAATTTATACATAATTTTATAGCAGAAAGAGATTTCACAAATGAATAAACCTTTTCTGTTTTAAATCAACCAATACATTTAATTAGCCGAATTAAAATGACCATTATGCTTCAGTGCTTTTTACATAAAATGAAAAAGAAAAGAATTAATTTGGGGAAGACTATGTAGACAATAGAAAAAAGAAACATTTTTAGTTAATGAAATAAAGTTTGGAATTTTACTATTCCAATTTTATCAACTAACGAGAGTTTGTAAAGGTTGTTGGATCAACATAATTTACACTACAAATTAATCTTGATTAAACAACCATTGAAAAAAAGAAGAAAGCATTGGACAGTTGTCTGTGATATGAACTGTGAAATTTCTGCAGTCTATACAAACTACTTAAACGAGTATTGTTAATAGTAATGCACTCATTAATGAGTAACTTTTAGATTTAGTTCCATGAGTTCTTGTAAGAAACCATGACTTGTGAAGTTCAACCAGGTTTGGTATATGATAGTTATAGATTTTGAACAGTGGTAGATAGTTTCAAAGCATTGAAGCACCACATTGGATGCTGGCTTATTAGTCTAAAGATTAAGCGCTTACTACACGAGTGTAGGCCCTAGATTTGGTCTCAGCTATGGATTTGAACAATCGCAAGACTGAGTCCTAAACCAAAGTGAAACAGCTGTTTACTGCTTTCCGGTATTGAGTTTTTGTCGTAGACTTTATCCTACATTAAAAATTATTCTGAAATCTTCATTTAAGAAAACGTTATCAGTTAATGAAACAACTTGATTTCTTAACTACTAACAACATTTTATGAAAGCTGTAAACTATGTGATTGTTATAACTGGTTATTCGTTGATTAGTGGTGTTTTTTTTCAAGATTATTTATCCCATAACATAAAGGCAAATACACATATTATTTTACTGCATGAATTTGCTATTACCACAAACGTAACCGTTATCAAACTTTGGTCATTTTAACCGTTTATTTTAGAATAATGACCTGTAGATTACCATAATAAAATATATACGATGTTTGCTATGGAATTGTCTATTCTATTCGTTCAAAACCATGAACTGCTTGATTATTATAACAAAAATAAATAAAAATTCTACACTCATCAATGATAGATTTCAAGATGAATTTTAGTAGTCTTAGTAAAAAAAATTCTTGACTTGTAAGTTAAGAATAAGATAGATGTTGTAAGATGATATTGAATAATCATCGTCTGTTATTTATTTATTTATTTATTTAACCACATAAACATTGATACAAGGAGGCACCAAATACATATGCGCTACATAAATCATTCGATTTGTGTGAGGGCTGGGATACTGCCCGGGTGCCCAGACCGAAGCTGGTGGTTTTCTTAGAGAGCCACACCCCGAGTATTTAACCTTAAGGTCTGATCCACAAGGCAGTAGAGCATCGTGAGGAGATGCAGTCCCATGGTAGTCGGTGACCGACGATTGGTTCATACGCCATTTAATCCCTCAGGATCCTGGAGCCCATGCGCACCATTGATTTGGAATCCGGTTAAAGCGTCGGACATTCGCTTTTCGTCCTCTCATTTTCGTAAACAACAATAATGCCACGGGAAGGCAGTGAGTAGGACTTCCCTGTCAGAGGCAGTATACGCGTGGCTATGTGAGAGTATTTCGAGAGGGAGGGCGGGCCCACCCCACTCTCGGCCACACCAGGGCATTTGGGGGCTCATCTGATGTACCAAAATGATTAAAGTTCAAAAACAATTGAACTTTAGTTTTATAGCTTAAAGATATAGTAGTTTATAATGATATGTGTACATACACCTTTAATTTTATAACATATAGACTATCTTATGAGAATGAATAGGGGTTTCAATGACTTACTTTCTTTCTCATTTATATTCTCAGATCATATGTATGTATATATAACTTTGTAAATGATACTTATTCAATTGTAATAACTTTCAACATTTCACTTAGAAATTATGAATCAAAACTGTATCCATGATTATTGTTAGTCGACAGTTTACAATTGAATGTAACATTTTTACTACTTCTGTATATTTCTCATAGAGAAATGAAACATAAAAATCAAATTTTATACTATTATGTGTGGTATTTTAAAACAAATTTTATTCATCTAGAACGCTTTTCTTCTTT